AAATGTTAAACTGGTCCTAGATGGAACTGGTCACAGTGACAGAAATACTAAACAAAATGAAGGGGTGGGGGGAATGAAACCACACATAATCTTCTTATTGCACCAATTTCTGATCATCTTATTTCTTTTCATATATAGTGCATGGGAGAATATCTCTGGAATATTTCAATAGATTAGGAATTATGATTCCAAGCATATAGTTCAAAACTGAAAGGATCCAATCAGGAACTCTTTCAGTAACTAAAAGTTGTTTCCCAAGAAGAAGAAAAGATCATTCTCTGGTAATAGTCTTACTCCCATAGTAATCTCCAGGCATTTTGAATGACAATTTCTGTGCACAATTTGCATAGGTCAACATAGGAAGATTTCCTTCTGTTAACCCTAACTGCATGAGGCAGCTGCTTCAGTATGCCTGATTATAAGGTTGGTCCTGTTGGGGCTCTCCTACTTGGAAGAAAGGAGCATATCCTTGCTGATAGTGAGGTCTGGGGTCAAGAGGGATATATGAGTAGAAAGTACAAAACAACACTCATTGGTGCATTTAAATCTATATTCAAATGTACAGTTTAGTTTAAAAGCATTTATTATTATGAATATTTCATAATCTGTAATATTTAATATAAGTGAATGCTGGAATTCTGCATGAGCTACGTAACTAGTATCTCTTGGCCCAATCCCCTCAACCTACTTTACCAGGCATCAACTGCACTGAGAGATGAAGGCCCATTCTGCTGGCAATTGGATCATGGATGAATGTTCCCAGCTTCTCCAGCCAGCAAGTGAATCTGCAAGACAGAAGTACAAAACAGGTTGTGCTTCTCATTGTCTTACGCTCGGGGTGGAATCACCATCTACCCATGACCTGAATTGTAGCAGAATTGACTTTTTCCTCTTGGTGCAGCCAATGTCCAGTAAAGTAGGCAGGGCAAGGGTAGTTAGGATCATATCAATGCCACAATTGCGACTTTGTCATGCTTGTAAATATGGTTGCAGGCATGTAGCGATGGGGGGCTTGGGGGGCTTCAGCCTCCCCCCCCCCCGAAATTCTGATAGTGGTCTGTGAGAAGGCCTTACTGGTGCATTATTTAAACTGTTATGTTTATTCATATCATGATCTGATCACCATGCTCAATATATCCCATATGCATGGGGGTATTGGGGTAACAATACAAAAGGTTTGCTAAGGTAGACCCTCTTTCACTCAGACTCAGCCTCCCCGAACCAAACAAGTTTCACATCTGTAAGTGTTATACTGTGTCTTGTTATTATACCTTTCCTGGCTTTCCTGGCTGAACGGGAATGCACAGCTCATGCATAGTCCATTCAGACTACAGTTTTTTATACTCACCTAAGAGAAAAGAGAATTCAGGGAGATTTCAGCAGACTTTGCTAGGATTAGACTTTAAACTGTTTGAGTGTAGCAATAAACATGGCACAATATTATACATGTGTAAACAAAAGTAAGTCACTGATTTTAATGGCATTTCTTTGTGAATATAGCATTAGAATCTCTGCTTATCAATCAATAAGTTAATCAGAGACATTAGGTTGGAAAACATGCCACTCTTAACAAAAAGTAAATGCTAGTAAGAAACTTGTGATTTCCTATGCAATTAAGCATACACACAATTAAGCTTGCTCGGTTGTCATGAAATGCCAGATTTCCATAGGAACCCTGGTTTATAAGTGACAAGCAAAATGTTAGTATATACTGCCCAAGTTCTTGTGCTCATAGCACTTTGACTAAACAACAACAACAGATCTTGTTTCTTTGGTTTGTTTGCCATGATGTCCAGCAGGACATGATCAATGGTCTATCCCTCTCTCAACAAGTCAAAGAAGTAACCAAAGAACAAACCACTGGATATTTTTTTCTGATTTGGAAGGGAAGAGACAAGCTAGAATTTCAGCTCATGCCTAGTTCAGGCGTCATACCGATCAAACCATAATCAGAAGTTTCATGGGGTTTTTAGCCATTCCCACTGCTGGTGGGAGCAATCATCCAACAGGTTCCCACTGTCTCACTCAGAAACTGTTAATACTTTGAAAATACAAGAAAGTGAGTTGTACAATATTCCCCTTTTCATTTTTAAAAGGACTTACAAAATTTTCAAGAAGAGTGTTATGTTAACATTGTTAACATACTACATAATTTCCTAGACTTGTTTTTCAGGATATTTTTTTTTCTTACCATTCTCTCTGTCAAGATGCTATTTTCAATTTAAATTAATTTTCCAGGATTATTATTGTTTATTTTAAATTGACTAATTTGAATCACACATTTTCCCTACAAAAGTAGTCAATACTGGTTAAGAAAAACATAATCATTAATTTAAAAGCTTGGTTAGATCAAATTAAAAAGTTTAGTGACTCAATTTCTTTTGGAGTTTTTGTGCTACAAATTACCTATCATTTGCCAAATTAAAAGTATACCTTTTTCTAGGAATTTTCATAATATTAAAATCATTATTCAAATTAAGCTTTTGTTTATCCATATAAAATATCAGTAACATTCTCCCATGTATCTGGAAGAAGATAGTAAACAGCATGCCAGTCACCTTTTGTGCCCTATTTTTTGCTTCCTCCTGCTAATTTAATTAAAAATTAAATTCATGCAGTGTTTGAACTACATAGTCTAGAAACTGTGACCAGATGGATGGGGAAAATATTGAGAATTTATTTTAGGATCCAAAGCAGTAGGCACCCTATCCAAGCAAGGCGCCTTTCCCATTTCTGGATTTCTGTCATTACTTAAAGGAAAAATGCTTTTTCACATCCTTAAATGCACTTGTGTTTTATTATCCAGATAGGTCAAGGTTGGGGAACACCCATACTTGCAACCTTCAAACACCTTTGTGCAAAACTTCCCTTTGGAAAAAGAATGGCATTACAGTTTGCTCACTCATATAGGCTCACTCAGTTAGAAGTATACTTTCTCCTTTCTGTGGTCTTCTCTTAATTTTCTTTCTGGGAGGGTCATATAGCCATGACCTACCAAACGTGCTTATCTATATGAAACATACCAATTAATTACTATGTGTCCTGATCTGAAGAAGTTTGAGATGAATGTATAAAAGCTGTACAAATAAGGAGACTTAGAAATAACTGGGCCAATAAAGATTATCTGAGTTATTATTAAGAATTCCCCTAAAAACACTTTCCCTTCAAAAGGTGATCATGATGATCTGAGTATTTTATGAGATGATATTTCAGGCCTTAGACTTTGTACCATTTTTCCAAACTGTACCTTACAATTTTTTTCAAGAGGTGGGAATTATTTTTATTTCTTAAATAAAAAAAAGCAGTCCACATGATAATTATTCAATTAGAATGTTATAATGTTTTGACCTTAATCCAATGGGTAGTTCTCACCCATTGAATAAATGGAATCTGTGTATATTTTGACTAACCATTCAACAGTTGATTCAAAAGGGCTTATTCTTGATGGGACTAAGCAATAGGATTTAAGCTACTGAATGGTTTGTATTTTCCAAAGCTATATGTAGCTTGGTTCAATATTATAAACGATACGCATTTCCCATGCTTCCTTGTTGCAGACATATTGATGTCAGAAGGATGAGGCTGGCATGGGCAAGGGAGCAACTGCAAGACTAGCATGAGTTATGCAACCATCTGAAGGGGACACCTGTTTTTTCACATCTAGAGATTTTCTTTCCTGTCCACAAAACATTTTGAACAAATGGAAACCCTCTGATTTCCCCCTCTGTCTACAGCCCTCTGCCTTACACCTCATCCATCTGAAAGAGCCCTTTAACATTTAGGTGTCACTTGGGTAGGAAGTTAAAAGGAGCTGTGAGTGGAGGGATGGAACAGATGAATTCCATTGCATCAGCCTTGCATCATTGCTCTTTGGTTCCAGATCTTTCAAAATCCCTTGCACATTTGATTGTAATGTGGTCATTCTTGCAACCAATATAACCAATATACCACAAGAATCTGGGCATTTGTCAGAATGAAGTATAATCTTGTTGTTCATTTTGCATTGACTTTGTTTGAATCTCTATGTCTCTGAAATCTTACTAGCCACTGGCAGCATGTGCTCAGGAATGAGCTCAGGAGGAGGTTACTATATTACAGGGTTTAGTATTCAATAGCTTCAAAGAAGCAACTAACTGAATGCATAACATCAGAAGTCTGAAAGCATCCCTTACATTCCATCTTAGTGCTCCATTTATTCAAAAGACTAATGGGTAGATCAACAAGAAAACATCGTTTGGATATCCAGTTCTGTTTCCAAAACCCATTAAGCAAATGAGACCTACTCATGCAGCATAACACGTGGCAACATTGCATTTATCACATGCTGGAAAATTTGTATCAGTGACATTAAATCAACTAAAAATCATTATAGCTCTAATTACCACATGGTATCAATCAATTACTGCTCTTGGAATCACTGTATGCATATACTAATTAGTATATTGTCATGTTCACACAGAATTATTTATATGTGTGTGAGAAAACTCTCTTGTAATGGTAGTGGTTCCCACTCTCCTGTTTACTTTTTTCTTTTCCATTGAAATTGAAAGCAGGAAATCATAAGCATTTCAATTATTCACTTCTGACTCGAGTCCTGATCCAGTTAATGTACCAGCTGTAGAAAATGATATCCACTTTGGTGCTTTAGCATAGCATGTTAGCAACTCAGTTATAGAATAGATTTGGAGCCTGTAGACTTAAAGCAATGTTTTTTTCCAGAACTGATTGTGTTACCAGGAAATTGGATATTCATATACCTTGTGTCAAATGAAGGAAAGATGTTTGTTGTTTTTTACTGAGAGCTGCCTAGGCAGGCAATTGGCTTTTATAAATAAGGTGTTAGGGAGGATACTGAATATGGATCATGAAACCAACTTTGTATTTTGTTTGCTAAATGCGCCGTGGGGGGACCACTTGATGCACACTTACCATGGGGGGACCACTTGACACATGCTTACCAAAATAAAGCCATCTCTTTCTTCTCATTTTGTCTGTTTTAGCGCAAGAAGAGTGGGCCCTAAGCCGTCCAAGCCTAAAGGCACCACCTCCCAGATCAACCAGAGGGGGTTACAGGGAACACCCCTATGGTAGATATTGAAGGTCCTCCTCATCTGTGACCTCACCTTAAAGACAATTAATAACCCGTGGTCTCCGCATAAACGGCAACAAGACAAGTAATAGCCCATTTCTTTTCTATCCTAGGAATTACTGCTTATGATTACCCTATATACTTCTTGTGTTTCCACATTGGAGTGACACTGGCACTAGTATTCTTTTATAACATGGACTTTAAAAGACAGTTGACAAGCATTGACTAAACCATTCAACAAGATGATGTTCTCTCTCGGTTGTTCCTCACTGTTGTGTGTACTTTCAAAGCAAAATAGGAAACAAAACAAAAGCATGATGCTGCATTGATCTCCTTACACTCTTCCCCCATACTATTGAGGCTGACTTTTTATTTAGGGTTGCTAAGAAAATGTAACATGACCTTTTTGAACCAGATGATAATCAAGATGTAGATAAGATGTTTTAATCTGTCTTTTTAATATATGTTAGTTAGATTTAAGATGTTTAATATTAAGTTTGTGAAGTTCATTTTAAATGCTGTTTTAATGGGGTTGACAACAAGCAGCTACTGTATGTATGTAGCTAACTGAATTTGTCCAGTGTTTTAACCTGTATTTGTTTTGGGTTTTTATTTTTTAAAAAGTCACATAAAGTTCCATGTGTAAGCTTCTCTAAATAGGAAACATAATTTTGTCAAATATGTTTGCCATAATTTGTCAATAAAGCTGAAACCTTTTGTAAGAAACTAAATTTGGAATTACGTGTGTTTAGCTTTAAATGCCTGCTTGATTTCTTCTTCAAGAGATGCCTAAAATGTTTTCTATATAAAATCTTTTTTTCAAAATCAAAATATTTAAATGAACCCAAGTTTGTTTTAAGAATATGTGCAAGACTTTAAAAATTGTATTAATAACTCATGGTTGTTAAATAATTTAAAAGCTAACAAACTAAACTGTGAAATGAATCATGGATAGCAGACACTAATGTATAACATGTTAATGGGAAAAAAGACGTGGCTTTAGAACAATAAATGGATTTTTAAACTATCCTCTAAGCTTGATCTTGCTAAACACACACTCTGATTGACTTGTTTGTATTAGCATGTCTCTCGTGAGAATGTAATGGAGTTTAAAGAGGTAAGATTACCGCTTACCAGTGTTAGACTGTCTAAATGCTAGTTCTTCAACCTTTGAATTTCCCCGCACATTAAATATCCCATTCAACATGTAAGCATTGCATAGATTCACCTTATTGTTTTCACTCTGAGGAGTGTGTTGGCTGCATTTGCGTAGTTATCTAATAATTTGTCTTGACAAACCAATCATCAGTGTCACTGCCCAGTTGTTGCTATTCAACTTCAAAAACTTTATTTGTAATTTTCAGTGCTAATTATCACCTCCCTTGAAGGCAGTTTAGAGGGCTGTTATTTCTTTTGAGAATATCAGACTTGATGGCTGATGATTGTTAAGGAAATATGTCGCAGGACTCAAAGGATGACTAAACGTTAAACAGGTAACATTAATAGTAACTCTGTAATTTTGAGTATGCAACAGCAATGTTAAATATTCCAAGTGATTAAGTTACTGATAGTTAAAAAAGTAAACCTGCCAAAACATAACAAATAGGTATTATAGGCTATTAAAACAACTAATTAACATTAACTAGTGGCAAAAAATTATTTTACAATATATAACCCTTGAGGCAATAAACAGAACTAAAATTAACAATAATAGTAATGCAACTCTTGCTAACAATTATATATAACCTAAATTTTTATGACAAAAAAGGAAGCCTTTATAGTAGGGATATCAAAACTATGGAATCTTTTAAATATAATTTTTTGTTTCTGGTGGCTTTTTGTCAATGTGATTGGTTTACTTTTTTGATGAGAACAGAACATAGGCCGGCTGCTGTTTAGTCTGTGATCAAACAAGCAAAGAACAAAAAAGATCTCTTGCAGCTGGAGTTGCATGCTAACTTTCTTGACTTAGTTTTTTGCAACATATGTCCTGTCTATTGTTTCTGCTATGTTTTTTGAAGTGGGCTTAGTCAGCTTTACATCTGTCACACTGAATCTCCTGTCTCGCTATTTCAGGCTTCCAAATACAATGGACAGCAAACCAGGATACAGTTACAAAAAGTTCAGGTAAGCAAAAATATTACCTTTTTGACACAAGTGAGGGAGTTAGTGGCATAATTTAGTTTTACTATGGACCTCATCAGATCTAGGTCTAGAAGTCAGGGGACAGCAGGGGACAGTGGGGAAAACAATGCAGCAGAACCCAACTTCATCCCCTTACTATAGTTGGTCATGTGCTGCCATCCCACAACGTTTCCCTGCTGTCCTGGCTTCTTCAATGAGGATACGAGTAGTCACTCATAACCTCAGAGCTCTCTCTTAGCATGCTGCTGGCATGATGCTGGGATGGAGCCACACCAGAAGTGGCCCTGCTTCATGTAATGGGCTCCAGCAGACTCCATCCCGGCAGCATGCTAGGACAGGGGGAAAAAACCATCTGATGAAGTCATAAGTATCTCCTCTTCTCCTTCCTCTTCATCCACTACCCATGGAAACCTTGTCCATGAAGAACCATTTATATTCATTTGGATCCCCAAATTACATTCTTATTTCCAATAACACTGAAAGAATGCACTGCTGAACACAATGGGATTTATTTCCAAGTACAGATTATTGGGACCTTGCTGCAAATGTGACATCACATTTGAAATATCAGTGGTATATGAGATGTGATGCAATACTTCTGTTTTTAAAAAATGGGTTGTATAAAGAAGGGAAAGTGTTGAAATCAATGGTATGTGTAAAGGTATGCTTATATCTCTTCCACTTAAGCTAGTCTAGTATCCAAGCTTTTTCAGTAGATCTGAAATATTGAGTCATTTTTTCTTTTAAAACCAAGAATACTCTTTTGAAAATCAACATATATATATATTTTTAAAAAGTACTATCCATTGGGAATCCAAATGCATTAAATGTGCAATTTGTTTCTCAGAATACAGATTTGTGGATTTCATTATTGCTTGTGTTAGTACATTTTACTGTTAAATGTGACAGATCATTGACAATAATTTTTCATCTTGTTGATTCCTTTTTATTCCACTTTGCAGGTAGAGCCTCAAATTGGCATGTCAGCAGCTTATATCAAGGTTGTGCCAGGAGAACTGATTACTTCCAGAGTCTGACAGATTTTGCATACCAATATAACTTTTCACACATGTGTTACTCCACAGGTATTCCTCCCTATAGGAAAATGTTAAATTGAAATTGTCCTAGGAAAAATGTCCAAGCTTTTGGTGCTTCCAGTCTCTCTTCTTCCTAATTCTCATGCCATTCCTCAGACCATGGATTGCCAAAGCCATATGGAACTGAAACTTCAATGCATGTTTGTAAACTAGAAATATTAATTTAGTTCAAGAGAAAGATTTGTGCATGAATATTTCTGAATTGATTATGGTTTTTTCTACAATGACGGATGTTTATTCTTATTTTCTCTTCAGTAAGTATTTTCCCCATATGGTAGCTTAGCACATTCATGTTTTTGGCACTAGGCTAGAATATGAGACAGATGCAACAACTATATGAAGTCTTACTAAGAAATATGGTCCTAGCATTGGTTTTCAAAAATTTCCCCTTTATACTAGGAATGTGAGAACTTCATACATCTTTTTAACTTCAGTGAGAAAACATATAGTGTCAAAAACAATCTGTCCAAAACATCTGAGGAGCACTATGTTGGGAGGATAGATTACGAACTTTGATTAGCTGATTAACAGGATACACTGAACATTTTTAGTCTCCAGGCATAAGATATGGGAAATCACTCTGTGCATCATATCTGCCAGTATAATTTCCATGTGCATCTCTGCCACTGTAAGTCATGAAGTCAATGGGACAAAACAATGATTTCTTCTTGAGCTAGAGGAAAATAAGAAAACCAGTGGTCCCAAAGCAGTCAATAAAACCTACAACTTTAACTAAGCTAGTATAAAGTTCTTTAATGGGGTACCTCCAGAAAAATATATTGAAAATATGCTTAGGAAAATCAGGATACAGAATAAATTTGTCAAGAGGATCAAAGTCAGCAATGATTACTATGAGAACTTCTTTATGTTAGAAAAAACAGTATAAGAGATATTTTAAAGGTAATCTCTTTCACCGTCTAATGTTCTCTGAGTTACTATTTCATTCTGTTCATAGGACCATTACTGTTTCCAGCAACTTACAGCTGCATTGAAATGGATTATGTGTGTACTACAAAAATCAGACATGTAACCCAGTATGGCAAGTGAAACAAGGTAGGACAGCCTTCCTGCCTAAAAAAGTATGGCATTCCATTAAGGTTTTATTCATTTGCATTTTATGAGAAGAAATATTTTAGAATTAGGACTCAAACCATGTATTTGTTAATCTGTGCTGGTGGCATCATTGCATGCAAGGAGGATAATGTCAAAGGTTGCATCTATTTATTTAGACATGAATATGTATGTACAAACCAGAACTGTTGCCTCTGCATAGCATAAATATCCATATGTGAAGATTCGCTATGCCAGCAGTACGTATGTAGTACCCATGCAGAATGATAACATTGTACAATTCATGTCAGTGACTTGATGCTGCTGTGCAATGCACACCAACAATATGAAGCTGCAATACACAATATGCAACTGCAATTTACAACCAGAATTATTATTATTATTATTATTATTATTATTATTATTACTATTATTGTTGTTGTTATTATTATTACCCCGCTTTATCTCCCCAAAGGAGACTCAAAAAGGCTATTTATGCTATGAACAACTTCAATACACAATGTTGCTGCATGCAGAACTCCCCTTCTGCTGTCAAAACCAGAATATAGCTGTTCCTCTGGGGCGAATACTTCACTTTGCCTGCATAGTGTCCCTTACCTATGCATATGTCACTGACAGTATGCTAGCCTAGGGGTAGACAAAATGCATAGGCCACATGGAGACCTCATCGCCATTTTGATCCTCTACCTTCCAAATAAACAACAAAAAAGAAATGTTGAATTTTCTCCTAGAAGCTTTCAAAAGACTGTGGGTTTTTGGCTATAAAATAAGCTGCTTACACTCCCTCCATATACACAGCCCTCCCTCGTTGCCCCAGCTTCCATCCCCCAAAACATCTGTGATAGATTCATAGCATGATCCTTGGAAGGAAATTCCATAGCTGAGGTTTCAGGGTAGTTCTTCCGCACAAATTGTTTTGCTGTGTTTTTGAGATATGAGAATTTTTCCTGAATGGCTAGCATTCTTGTGCTGGTATGCTTTCTAGTCATTTCCAACTTATGGCAAACCTACAGTGACTGCAATGCTCTCACAGACATGAAGTACACTAAGAGGAGCAGTTGTGGCCAGATTTTGGGGACAGTGTCTTTTTTATCTGCCTTCTCTCAATGCATCTGCCACTGGGAGGGCATTGCACCTGTCATTTCCTGGCACTCGACTCTCCAACCCCCCAGGAATGCTTCAGTTGGCTGGTTTTTGGAGAAGTGGCATTGCTATGATAATGGAGCTCTACTATTGTATCTATGGCTATCATTTGAGAAAAAGAACAAGAGAACATATGTTTATATGACTCACAGTCCTTTCATATGTAGAAATTATAATAAGCAAGAGCAATCAACAAAAGGTTTGGGGAACAAAAATTGTGCCAAAAAGGCCATCAGCAAGCTAGCTAGATCTGAAAATAAATGAATAAATATGTTAAAAGCATGGCATGACTAGAGGTCTGCTTTTGATTTTGATGCAGGAGGCTGAGAACCTCCTGCATCAAATGTGATGTGGGGAGCAACTGGGCCCACTGTGTTTCATTCATAATGGTGGTCTGTTCTACTGGTGCTCAGCTCACTTCCAAAAATTATAAAGATGATGACTAAGATCCTGCTTCATAGGCAATTATCAATGTTAAACTAATTGCAACTAAACAATGTTTCCATCTCCCTCCCATACAGTGCAGCAATTAGAAGCAAGACCCCTTCTTCAGCCCTTGTTTACACCACAGATCACTGGTAGGGCTGGAAATACCATCCTGATGCACCTTGATCACCACCATTTCTCGCTGCAGCTGGAAGGTAGTGCCAAAATTATAAACATGAATACTGAACAACTACAGATATTTAAATCCAGCTTAAACGTTCATAACTGCTCAACAGGATGCCAGTGAATCACCTTTCAGTTCAGAATTGGCACATGATGCAATCTGCACTTAAATGTGCAGGCTTTTGTGGAGACATTCCCCTTTTTTGTAAAACAATACAGTTGCAAATTACTTATGGAAATCAATAATGCCCTGTGTGTTACAATACAAAGACAAATGGGAAGATTTTTTAAAAAACATGTTGTGCTAGTAACAAACATATAATTTTAACATCATGCAAATATAACAGTGCAGTAATCGTGCTTTATGAATTATAGGAAAAATATCAAGAACATCCTATGCAAGATAGCTCTGATGAGCGAGTAGAACAAACAAAATGATTGCATGAAGTACATTGCCGCAACAATATTCTGCACTGCACTGGCTACTTGCCACTTCTTTCAGTTTTAGCAATGTTAATTCAGTATTGGGACCGCACTGAGAATGTTCTCTCAAAGACCCACACATGCAGCTCTAGATTCTACATGGATGAGACATATTTTGGGATGTTCACACCACTGTGGTTTGTTCACTATCCAAATAATGTAGACATCTAAACAGGCAGCACCCATTACATTGTGAAAGTCTTTGTTTCAGGGTTCACTTTAAGCTATCCACAGTGCAATCCTAATCCTGTCTAAAGGCCTCACTGAGTTCAATAGTATCTATTTCCATGTAAGTGTATATGAACTTTTTTTAGGTTACGAGAACTTTCTATCATGGAATATTATACACATATTTGTACTAAAAAGTAAATAAATGCATTGTAAGTATATCTTGGTTTTTGTCAAGATATATAGAAATGGATATGGTGAAAATGTTAAAATTCAGTTTTGTAATGTGTTTTTTATAAACCTATTACACACTACCACTTACTTCTGATACTATTGATGGCAATGTTCATTAAAACTAGTAGTTTTACATTAATAAAATAATTTCTACCTCCTATGCTTCTTCATCACATAGAAAGAAAAGAACAAAATTTGGTCTGATGACTTGTAGATGTCATGCATGAATTGCTGGGGTCACCTGGACACCTCGAAGTTTGCATACATTTTTTCTAGTTCTCACAGTCATTTTTCTGGTTCTACGGTTTTTGCCTTCAGGTCATTTCTGATTTATGGCAAGCCTAAGGGATAATGCTCAAATGCTCAAGCTACTGCTCCATGTTGGCTCAATTGAAGTTGAGTGGACCATTGTTGTTGTTGTTGTTCACTAGATTAAGGAGTGATAATCTGAAATACGACATGGCTATTCGCATCTCATTATTGTTGCAAGTGATATGGAAAATGAAGTTGTGATAATCTGAAACACAGTTTCCTTCATTGCTGTTAAGATGTATTTGAACTCTCATTTGAGTCAAATGTCAGGATGATATGTAAAAACAAATCCAATTGTTCTCAGAGGGAAAATAGATTTTTTTAAAACTGCCAAAATGTTGATAGAAATTTACATATGGCACTGAAAAACAAGTTTTTTCCTGAAAACTACAGAGTCACTCTTCTCATGGGGAGAGTACCATATCTAAGATTCAGATAGCATGAAGATCTGACAGCCTTTTACTGTTCAATGTATAAAATTCAACTTGGGTTTACAGAAATTTCTTCCACCAGTTTCAGTGTGTGCCAGATTTTTTTCTAGTCCCCCCCCCCCCACCAATTTCTCATGTTTCTCCCTACCATCTATGGGATTCCAAGTGATTGTTTAGTCTTGATAGTATGTATTTGGATCCCTACATAATGAAAATACCTTGGCAGTAATTTAGAATACGCAAGTGCTGGTAGTGAAAAGATTAAACTTTACACATTACACATGGGGACACTCAGAGCTTTAAATGTTTTTGTATATCATATCCTTAGTCCCACATGTGTACATACTCACAGAGTAAATGATGATCATCAGAGGTTTTTAAAAATGTGTGTTTTAGCTTGATGCAGTTGACAATAGGATTTCAGTTTACATCCAATGTTTGAAGATTTCAATTCATTAAGACAATTTGTGCCCAGAGAATGACATAGGCTTAGATGTTTTTAAAGCCTGGTTGGACCTCCAGATCAAGCATTTCTCAAGGAATTAAGGTAAAATTCATGGCACAGGTCAACATGGACACTGTTGGCTCATGATCTCAGTGTGCAGAGGTGGGCCTCACTTTATTCTTTGGTCTGGATTCTCTCTGATACTTGGATCACCACTCTGAATATCATGGGAATGTTGTTTTTACCTGCCTCTGTCCCGTTTTTTCATGTTGCAGCAATAGCATAATCAGAAGAGTGCTCAAAATGCCACAATCTGTTGTTTTGTCAAGGATACATTTCCTGGATTTTGCGAGATAAAGAGTGCATTCAGATAGAGAGCTCCTAATGTTCATAATTAAAAGGCACTGCACAGCTGGTCTACCTTTTTATTTCACTGACTATTTTTGAGGAGAAAAAAGGTGGAATGGAAAGGAGTGGGAGTGCAAGAAAGTGGAAATTGAAAATAGCAGAGTAAGGAACTTGATACTGAAAATGACATTGCTAGAAACTCCCATAAATGACTATGACTGAAGCTGGGTGATTACATAGTAAAAGCATCGTCCAGAAGGATCCTTGCTCCTTTTTCTAAAAAATTATAGTCAAAATTATTCTACATCAGCACTAGTTTGTGGTCAACAGTTCGACACCATTTTAACTGCCTTGGTTCAGAGCTATGAATTCAAAGGTGTTGCATTTTGTTGAAGGTAGAGAAGGCTAAAAACTTTTGGTAGAGAAGGCTAAAAACCTTGTAAAACTACAGCTCTCATGATTTCACTGAATGGAGTCATGGTATTAAAGTAACTGTAGTAATCCCGGAACAACAGGGGGAATGCAAGGAGAAAAGAGAAACTAGTATTTTTAAAAAGTGGAATGACAGAAGTTCCCAACAAATCAAGACAACTGGGCAATATAGGAAGACCTTCTTCTCTCATATATATTTACCTAAAGGTCTTAAGATCTTTAAAACCCTCACAGACCCCTCTCTAACTTTTTTTTGTTGTGTCAGGAGCGACTTGAGAAACTGCAAGTCACTTCTGATGTGAGAGAATTGGCCATCTAAAAGGATGTTGCCCTGGGGCCGCCCAGATGTTTTGATGATTTAACATCCTTGTGGGAGGCTTCTCTCATGTCCTCGCATGAGGAGCTGGAGCTGATAGAAAGAGCTCATCCGCGTTCTCCCCGGATTCGAAGTGCGACCTGTCAGTCTTCAGTCCTGCCGGCACAAGGGTTTAACCCACTGTGCCACCGGGGGCTCCACCCCTCTCTAACTGCTTCCACCAAATGTGATTAGAAAGGTAAACATACATGTGTGCATCAACCAAAATAAATCTCTAAGCTATTGCTGATGGTCTAATGATAGGCTTCTGCCCACACAGACTCATTAAGCCTGCCCCCTTGTTATTAGAAACTCTGATTTCCAAATAAATGCATGGAAGATTTGAAGTGATGGAGAGAAATTAAGCATAGGTTCTGGAAACTCTGTTTTTGTTCACTGTTTGTATTACTATTGATTGTGTAGACAGACCTTCTTTAGGGTCATTTATTGGTCTTTCTAATAGCTTTACTTTATACCTTTTTCATTCCTTTGGTTTATATGGGAGGGCCTTCTTCCACACTGCAAAATACAGTCCAGGATGTTCTCATTCAAATGATGTGAGATGATGGAGCTGGTAGTTTCAAAAAACAGTTTAGCAGGTTTTGAATCATGAAAGAGGATATAATCGGTATACTGTAATGTATAGAAAAAATTGGAAACCTGTTTGGGAGGAATAACATTGAAGTGGGTGTTTTCTGCTATTTTTTACCCAATTTTCACCCACCCTGAAAGAGTTGGAGGAAAATTGTTCTGTGCAGAAACATACTGTTGTTTCAACAAATGCTGGCATACCATTTACAAGGTCATAATCTGGACTTATGGTCTCATTACTTTTTGGATTCAGTTTTATGGTCATTAATGACTGAACATAACTTGATAAACCTACATTTTAAGCCAGACAGTACCCCAAATGAAAGGTTTCTGAAGTGCTGCAGTTTAGGATGCTGAGGAATAGCAACTACAGCATTCATGCTATCAGAGGATGCTGAGTGGGCAATTGAGACAAGAAACTAAGCCTTACCATCCTTGTGGAAGGGCTTTCTCTCAGTCCCAACATTAGAAATTTAGTCTCAGTTGTGTCTCTGATAGTGGCAAACAAGATATCACATTTGGGAGGAAACCTCCATTTAAATAATGAGTAATTATTTCAAATTGGAAAGGGTTCAAATGAACATATGTGTATTAAACTGTAATCTATATATATAGATATAAATGCTCTGTGCATAATGAGTACCTTAAAAACAAAAGAACCAATGAACAAAATCACACCAAATTTAGCAACAAAATGTCTCACATCACAAGGAGTGACCATCACTCAAAACATTATGGTTTTGTTATTTGGGAGTTGCAGTTGCTGGGATTTATAGTTCACCTATAATCAAAGAGCATTCTGAACGCCACCAACGATGGAATTGAACCAAACTTGGCACACAGAACTCCCATGACCAACAGAAAACACTAGAAGGGTTTGGTGGGCATTGACCTTGAGTTTTGGAGTTGTAGTTCACCTACATCCAGAGAGCACTGTGGACTCAAACAATGATGGATCTGGACCAAACTTGTACAAATACTCAATATGCCCAAATGTGAACACTGGTGGAGTTTGGGGAAAATAGAATATTGACATTTGGGATCCAGTCCAACTCCCTTCACCAGGGCAAGAAAACATAATCAAAGCCCTCCTGACAAAGAGCCATCCAGCCATAGATATAGATAGATAAATATGATTCACACAAAGATATAGTATCATAGATTTGAAAGGGACCCCTAAAGAAGGACAATGATATGTTACATGTTCCAGAGTAAGCAAACCAGACACTCTCC